AGAGTTCTTGTAAATTGTTGAGTTCAATATATAAGGTTTGAGAGTGTTGTCCCAGTAGATTCGTGTGTGCCTTCTGTGTGAGTTTCTGTCCCTTATTCTTGAATTGAGTGTGACTGATTGTAACGCCTTCACAGGTAGCCTCAAAAAAAAACAAAAATTACCCTGTGACACTTAGTCAAAAGTACGGAGATTTTGAACCACATGCATACCCATCAAGTGTCCTTCTACCATGTCAACGAGCCTGATGCCTGTGTCGAAGAAAAACGATGTTAGTTAGGAATTAATTGTAAAGAATTTATTTTTAAAAATTAAAATACTGATTTGATTTAATTTGATTTGCTGTAATTAATAGAGTATAATTAATAGATTAGTTAAAATATGATACTATCCACGCTACCCATAAGAAATTTGAGAATTTGAATTTTTGTTAAGTTAACGTAATGAGTGGACCTAATTATGATATAATTAATAAATGAATTGCATATAAGTAAAATTAATTAAAAAAAATGCACAACATGAATTTAATATAGCATGATACAAAACAAATTAATAGGGGAAATGGATTTGAATAAATTGAATATAAGTGAAATTAATATAAAAAATATACAACACGAACCTGTTAGTTTTGCAAAGATGATTAGCAAAAATAATATTTGTTGAAATATGGGAATTCAAAGATATAAAAATTATAAAGTAAAATACAAAGATATAACATGGTTCGATATAACATTTTCACTTTGTTACGCCGTACCTATATCCGCATACCAAAAACTTACATCAATGTATTACATAATACTTAATCCTATAAAACTGGTCATTGAAAAACTGGTCACATGTCTAATATACCAATTCATGGTATATTAAAACTTTTCCAATATAATCCTTTTTGTTTTTGTCACTAATAAAGGTATTCATGATTTATTATGACTCTTATATTGATTACTCAACAAACTCTTGTAATTAGAGAGTTTTGATCAAATTTCATAATATGACACGATATGAAACAAGTTAATAAGCAAATCAAATATGAATATTTTGCTGGAAGATAGCTCTGCAAATAATATTTATTGGAAGATAGGAATATAACACAAAGATATAATATGGTTCTAAATAGACAGCATACCCACCTTGGTACATTGTACTTACATCCACAGACTTACTCAAAAACTACATCCATGTGAAAAATTGGTCATATGGTAATTAATTATATAATATTTAACCTATTTAAAGAAATAAAATTCTATAACTCAAACCTATTCAGATACAACTTGATCTTCATATTTTCTATCACATATCTAATAGGTATTGATGGTATATTAAAGGTCATCCAATTTGACCTATCCATGGTTTATAAGTTTATTATGACTCTTTTAATACGTTTTCTATTTCATTCAGGATTCTCAAAGTGCTTACCCAACAAACTTGATTAAATTCCAACAAATTGAATATAAGTGTAATTAATACAAAAAGAAAAAAAATGACACGAACATGATACAATAATACACAAAATAAATTAATAAGTGAATTGAACATGAATATAGAGTATTTTGACATGAATTCAATAAGACTCGACGCAACTATAAATTTAATTTAATTATGGATCTTAATATTTTTTTAGCAATACTGTTGGGAGCTAATTTATTAATATAATTTGCTGACCTAATTCACTATGACATTTGGATTGATTATGGCCCCATCAAGTATTGGAACTTGGTGTTGATTTAATAGTTCAACTAAAACCACATCCTTATGTCATCAAAATATGTCAGACTTTTATGTTCAAATAACATTATTCTTATCTAAAACATCATTGACACCTCCTTGACATCCATTTTCGTTAAACCACAATATCTAATAAAAAAATTCATTTAAAATATCAAAATTGCCCCTATATAAACCCTAAACTATTTTTCTAAATAAAATTTGATTAAAATTTGAGTTGAATAAAATTTATTTTTTTTATATATTAAAATTAGATTTGAGTTGATTAAGATATATTATTTTATGTATTAAAATTTAAGCATACTAAAATTTATTTTTTTATGTATTAAAAAGTGAGCCGATTTGAGCTAAATTATGATCTGTTTGCACCAATTAATATTTGATTCAAGTCAATTAAAATTTATATTTTTTATGTATTAAAATTTGAGTCGATTAAAATTCAATCCAAATTGATTAAAATTCATTTTTTATAAACAAGTGAAAAAGTATAACTTGTGGGATGTACCGAGATTATTTAAATGTGTCAGATTTGGATTGACTAATATTTTATACGAACCCATAAATAAACTTATATATTTATGTATAATATATAAATAAACAAAATATTTATTTTTTAAATACATAACTGCCAACATATTGATGCACTAACGTCAATTTCTTCTAATTGCTTTTGTTTTTGACTTTTTTAGCCGTCTTTCCACTTCTAATTGCTTGTATCTTTACTTTTGTTGCTGCCAACGTGAGTCCATTATTAACGAGAGAGTTGTGGGCATTTTGGTCTTTGGCTGGGGGCCTTGGGCTAATTTTGGAGGTAAATTGCTTATATCTTACCCTAGTCACAGTTTATATTTGGTACTAGGTAATTTGCAGAACAAGTAAACCGTACTGAGGTAAAATGGATTTTGTCCTTTGTTAATCTTTGTTTAATTGATTGTACACTTGTATTTCATATTTAATCCAATCAATTTTTAATAACAATCATTCTAATCGTTTAAATTTGATGATTTATATTATAATTTTAATTTTTTAATTATAATAACTCAATTCATATATTAAAAAAAATGCGTTTTACATGGGGACACCCTAATCAATTGAATGGTTCGATTGCTGCAATTTTGTTACAATTCCATTTAATTTAAACTCATATTCTAATAATTTTGTGTTAAATTTATAAATTGTATTAATTAACGTAAAAAAAAAAGTAATTAAAGTACCAAAAGAGGATAGTTATAGATTTATTGTGCTTCCAAGGTGAGGCATTAGAAATAAAAACAACGCATTTTGTTTAATTTTTGACAGACTTGTCAAGTCAATATGAAATCATCATAAAATTATATAAAAAAAATAGTTATTAATCATTTAATAGTAAATGAAAAGTTGTGATTAAGGAGAGCAATACTAAGTCTTAATAGTGGTTAAGTTTGGTCTTTAGAAATTCAGAGGATTTAAATTCACCACTACACTTCTCGGGATCAGCCATATTTATTCTTCAAGAAACTCGCTCGGACTACAATTGTTAATATCTAAATTTCAGAAATTATCGGTATAAACTCGAATACTCCGTAAAAAAATAAAATAAAAAGGAGAGCAATTGTCATGTCACTTTTTGTGAGTGTGTGTCCCTGCAATTGGGATTGTTCATCGATGTACACCAACACTAATCCAGTCTATAAATGAGCTGTTTATTAAATGGTATGTATAGTACACTAACCTGCATAAATCTCAATCCATTTAGCTTAATTCCATACCAGTAAACTCCTTCTGACGTGGCCGATTTTTTTTTTTTTTTTTAAATTAATTTTATTTATACATGATTAAAAAATATAATAAAATAAAATATTTAAATTTTAGACATGTCAATTTCTCATTAATTTAAAAATAGAGGTATAATATAAAAAATATATATATATTATAGGCATCTAAAATGAGAATTTAATTTTATGCGACCATTATATTATTTGTGAGTTTAATATCTAATAATAATAATCAATAAGGTTCCTACGTTAAGTTCTTAAATTAAATTCAAAACCCATTTTCATACCATAATCGAAGCCAAATAGTCGAAGCCAAATAAATAAGAGATATGCTTTGTTTCCAAAAGTTATATCCCAAATTTGCATTCTAAATCAAAAGGATGGTTGAATTAATGCAGGTGTCAATAACTTTTTTTTTTTGGTAAAAAAAATATATTATTTTTACTAAATATTGTATTTTGAATGATGTGTCAAAATCTAATATATTAAATAATTGGTAAAAATTAATGGAAAAATTTTAAAAAGTAGAGAGGATGTCCTTGAAGATATGATAAATTAAAAGGGACATGACTGAAAATTTTCTTATAATTAACCATCCTTGACACCTCCGCCCATTAAATCACCATTTTTAACAAAAAATAATAATTCAAAATACCAGAATTACCCTTACATTAACCCCAGCACAATCTTACATAAAATTCAATTAAAATTCATTTTCTCTATATATTAAAATTTTAGCCTATTAAAATTCTTTATTTATGTATTAAAATTCGAGCAAATTTAGACTCTACTGGAATTGTTAGCGCCCATTAAAATTTGCTTCAAGTCAATTAAAATTTAAATTTTTTATTAAAATTCGTGACAATTAAATTTCGATTCCAAGTAATTAAAATTTATATATTTTTTTTATGTATCAAAATTTGAACCGATTAAAATTCCATGTTAGTTGATTAAAATTTGATTTAAGCAGATTAAAAATAATTTTTAATCGACTCGAATAGAATTTAATCAGGTCAAATTTTAATACGTAAAAAAATATAATTTTTAATTGATTCTAATTTTAATACTTAAAAAATAAATTTTAATTAACTAGAATTGAGTTTTAATTAATCCAAATTTTAATAAGTAAAAAAATTTAAAAAATAGAGTAGATCTCGTTGAAGATGGACATATATAGAGACGGTGTGAATAAATTTTTTTCTAAAATATATTACATACAATTTAACAAAATTGTATTCTAGTTAATTTTTTTAATCTAATAGGGAGTGTCAATAAAAATTTTGAAAATAAAAATAATGTCCAGTAACAATAATAATATACTACTCTTTTTTATAGTAAAAAACTGTGTGACATTATTAGAGAGATAAGATTTAGAAACTATAGCATTACCCATTTTTTAATGGAATTGACTAATCCAACCTCGAATGTATCGCTGACGTGGCCAGACCCATGCGAGAGAGACCTGGAAAAAGAGAGGGAAAGTCGCCAACGAAAGCGATCACCTCTGCTGCTAAATCTCGACGACTTTGTTGTTGAATTGAGAAGTTGAAAAAGTGTTCATCTTGATCCGCTCTATTTCTATAATTCCCTGGCCTTTTCTCTATGCTGCTGTCTCACTTATCTTCCCCGTGACTCAGTCTATCTCCACACGGAGAACAAAATCCCACTCACCGGCGAACTACACCGGCGGTCTTCATAAAGTATTGGCGTATTTCATTGCTATAGGTGAGCTACGTATTCTTTACCATTCTTTTGCCCTCTGTACACAATGTCACTAAAATACACACACAAATACAAACAAATTTTGCGAAACTTTTGAATCTAGGTATTGATTTGATGTCGGGGTAGTGATGAGAATAGATGTGGTGAAGTGGTGAATTGGATGGAATATGGCGGAACAGCCTTCACTTCCCCCGGTCTTGAAAGACAACACGTTGTTGAGAGGGGTTTTCGCAGTGGGCGGAATCATGTCTACTCTCGTCGTCTATGGCTTCTTGCAGGTACGCGTCTGAGATCATGATTTTTCGTGAAATTACTCTATGAAACCTTTTTCATATTTTAGTTGGTAAATGAGTGGAGAAATTAATGAAAAAATTGTATGTGTGAAGATTTATTTTTTACAAATCGTATTGATTTTTGATTACTTAAAACTAGCCACGAAAGAAAATGTAATGACCACTGATGTTGTGCCTTGTTGCGTTCTACTCATATGCCTCTTCTCATTCGCCGAAAAAGTTATTATGATGATTGCTTAGAATGTGCAAATCGAGAAATACCTGTTTTGGATTCTGAGTTCGTGTATTGTACAATACTTTGAATCCTGGTGTCCGAAAGTCTAACTTTCTTGTTGACATTTTGAAATTGGTAGGAGTGTTTGCATATTATGTTTTTGATATGATCTAGGATTACAAGGTTAGGCATTTTCAAACAGTAATAGAATTTGTACGGATTATCTTTTTATTCCACCAGTTTGTTTGCTTTATAGTTTGTCACAAAGCATAGCAGCACCTTATTACTATTTGGCATAAAAATCTGTCTTGCAATTCACCTGTAGAAACTGAAACAGAGGAGGATGAGGGAGGAGGAGAGAGCGAGCTGGGAGTAGGAAGCAAGTAGAAGGTGAATGGCAGAAATCTGGCCACTTGCTCCATTTGACATAAGTTCCAAGACTTCACTACTAGAGTTCACTTCTTGTATGTCCGCCCTAAATTAAGGCTTAAATGTTTAGGGAGGTCAATTACTGGTTGTTTATGGGCTTTGTTAAATACTCGGTAGTCGGCCTCGGCCACCAAGCTGTCTGGTTTTAATCGAAGGGATCACGTTATTAGCAAAATATCTATATTGGAGGCAATTTGTAGAAGAACTTCTCTTGGTCAAATCTCTAGGATAACATGTACATTTTAAAAATTTGCCATCATAGTGGTGGCCCAGTCAAATCTTTCGGTTAGTGATGCCTTAGTAGGACTGGAAAGACTCGACTGTATAAATGATTTTCTCCAATTGAGGGTTTCCCATGGCCCAACTCTTGATTTGAGAGTGAATTTTTTTGAGCAAAAGAGTGCATAACAACCTAGATTACCACCTTATTAGGGGCCACTGAATTAGTAGTGTCCAATGTCGTGCACTGATGGTTGTGTTATTCTCTAATAAGTCATTTCTTTTTGTTAATATAATTAACTAACTGTTATATCTTTCTCATTTTGCAAATCATGTTATTAATACAGGAAAATTAATGGTTCATGGAAGTTTATTTCTTGCAGGAAAAAATCATGAGAGTTCCATATGGACCAAACAAAGAATTTTTTAAGTACTCCTTATTTCTTGTATTCTGCAATCGCATTACAACATCAGCTGTCTCTGCGGGTACCTTGCTGGTAACTATATGTTATTCGGTTGATTCATCAGTTTTTATGTAGATCCCACACTCCCAACATGCTGCACATCAGGAGAATTTGTCTTGCTACATGCTTCTCACAGTGATGACTAGGGGTGGGCTCCAGCTCCAACTCCAACGGAGTCGGAAAGCATGAATCCGAACTCCACCTCCGCACTACATTGACTCCGTCTCCAACACCACCAATCGGAGTTGGAGTGGAGTTTCGGAAATGGGACACAATCCACAAAACAAAAAAATACCATCAGCAATTTGTCAAATATTCGACACAACACAATACATATAGAAAATGAAACACCAAGATTCAAGAATGATGGCAATGAAATGTAATAAGGTTAATTGGAAAAAGAAAGAGAAACAGTATACCATGACATATGATCTGCTACAAGATAGTGACTCAGATATGATGATTGTAGCGAGCACAAATTGATGCCGACCCCAAAATGATTGGGACATAAGGCTTATTTAGTTTGGTTAGCAAACACAACTTGATATATGTATATATCTATTATGAAGAGGCACCAAATAAAAGAGTCCGAGAAAGCTAACAACAAACAAAAATCGGATCATCCACCAGGTGAGAACTTCAATCAGAGTTTCGTAATATGTAGGATCTCGGATCTAAGATCTGTGCTTTGCCCCTCGTCAACTCTGTGTGTGTGTGTGTGTGAGAGAGAGAGAGAGAGGCACATATCATATACAGCCTTTAAAAGTGGTTTTATTTCAAAATATAACAATATATTATTTAATTTATAATTTATAATTTACATGAAATTATTATTTCATAAAATTTGGAGTTTGAGTTTTCCCTCCGATTCTGACGGAGGTAGAGGCTGACTGGGGTTGGAGGCTGAGTTTCTGATTCTTGCACACCCCTAGGCATGAATTTATATCTTTTGTGGCTTTCAGCATCTTATTAAACAAAACTTCTAATAATTCTTTAGTGTTTTCTTCCAGGCAAGTAAGAAAGTCTTGGACCCTGTTGCTCCAGTTTACAAGTACTGTGTTGTATCAATATCTAACATTCTAACCACAACATGTCAATATGAGGTAAAGCCGTGTTCATTTGCGGTGTTTGTTCCTTTTATTTCCCTTGAAAGAAGAATTTGGGTGTGTGGAAAGCCTTCAGATTTGTTAGAGCTTTGCTTAGCTAATTGTTGCATTGAAGGTTGAGATGTGACCAATACTTTTTCTGTTAACATTAATTTCCTATGCGTGATCCAGGCCCTTAAATATGTTAGTTTTCCTGTTCAGACCCTGGCGAAGTGTGCCAAAATGATACCTGTTATGGTAAGTTAATTCTGGGTGTCATTCTAGTTGTTTTAACTCCTCTGCTAAGAATCTAACTCCTTATTTAGACTGTTATGTGATTTAAATTGACCTTCCAAAGTCTTTACTATGTGTGGGACTGGGTTTCAAATATCATATCTATATGCAAATGTGAACACTGTCTATATCAAGGTAAAACATATGTTTCGATACATGATGAAATCTGCCTCTGATTTTTCTCATTTCTCCAGTTTACATTTTGCTAGTATGTTTTTGCCCAATTTTTATTTTAGTTTTTCTCTCCAACTGTCATCCTTCTAAAGCTGTATTTATAAATTGGACAAAATTCCCCACAGTTTTTGTTCTTCACTGCAAAGCAGTGGGAAGGCCGAAGGGTTAAGGGGTTTTCAAATTGGCTGACTGCACATTTTTAATGATCTCATATTTGAACAATCGATAAACCCTCGGTTTGAATAATATTTAAGAGGATAATATTCGAGGGCGGAGCATGATATAGTGGTAAGGTAGTTTTATTGTGACTTGAAGTCACGGATTTGAGTCACGAAAACAGCCTCTTCGCATTCGGAGGTAAGGCTACATACATCTAACCTTCCTAAACCTTGAAGTGGCAAGAGCCTCGTGCATTGGACTATTCATTTATATGTAGGTGCAAATGAGGTTCAAAATGACTGCTTAAATACGTCGTCTGATTGAGGCCATTAAATGTTATTCTAGTACTTGCTAGAAGTCATTGTGTCATTCCTCACATGTTTCAATTGTAATGCTGCTTATTTGCATTATGTACTTCTGCATTTACAATACCCTCCTAATATTACTTATTTTCACTTTATTATTTATGCAGCTTTGGGGTACTATCATCATGCAAAAGAAATACAAGGGATTTGACTATTTGTTGGCTTTTCTAGTGACCATTGGGTGTTCATTATTTATTCTATATCCGGTAAGAACTACGTCCTCAATTTTTATTAAGAAAGGGCCCTTACCCCTACCCCCCCCCCCCCCCAAAAAAAAAAAAAAAAAAAAAAAAAGAAAAGTGATATTGAAACCTGAAGACTAGTGATGTACACGGAATATGCTACAGAGTGCTTTTTTAAGCACATGGTTTGTTGTGTCTGAGATTTAATTCATAAGGACTTGAAAGTAACCAGAATTTTTTTAAGAATATTGCTTTTCCTGATTAATATTTATGACTTTCTTGGTTTGTTCATATAACTGTCCAATGTGTTCTGTATATTGTTTCCGAAGGCATTTAAGGTGTTTCTGAGTCTTTTAACACTTTGCTAGCATATATTTCAAGTTTGGAATCATCTTGAAACCTTAGACTTGGAAATTAATCTAGTCTGAATGCACATCATAAGCTTCAGTCCATTAGGCATTTATTATGCAGATGACGTTTATATTCTTTCCCAATTTGTTCAGTGGGTCATGGGCTGCTTTAGAACTTTCATTTTGGAAGAAAAAAAAAAAGTTAAATTAACAATCCCTGTTGACCTCTAAAATATTTTAATACTCGTAATGGTGCAGTATTTTAGGATCCCAAACTTGACAACCTTTTGCTACACTTGTATCAAAAAATCAATATTTGCAAAGGAACTTGTATAGGTGTGCTGAAAAGAATATTGCTAAATTGTTTTCGAGAGTATGGTGGATGCCGCTATTGTTAGTGCATAACTTGTACCTTCGGTTGATTTATTTTGGGGAAATATCTTGTGTTGATTTTGATAGAAGGCGAACTTTTTATTGTTTTGTTTTTTCACTGAAGGCAGCAAGTGACATTAGCCCATACAGCAGAGGAAGGGAAAGCACAGTATGGGGTGTTTCCTTGATGATGGGTTATCTTGGGTAACAATTCATTTTCTATCCTCCTCCACCCCCCCCCCCTCCCAAAAAAAAAAAAAAGCTCCAGGGTGGGGGCATGAACAAGAAAAAAAGACACTACTGTTTCATTTTCCGATTCTTTCATTGAATGTTTGAGTTTTTTGCACATTTAAGTTTGATTATATGTTAGAAATTTTTTTGGCTTAGTAGGGGAAATTTATTCTGCATTACTTCTATATAGATGGATTACGCCTTGCCTTGCTTTGTTTTTATAGTTAATGATCTCTTTCAGAGTTATAAATGACTTTCATTTGACTATTTTCATTTTTTTCCTGCATTGATTATTACCCACACATGCTCCTAAAAGAACAATGTACGTGACAAAACTTGGGTGGCATCCAAGCCCAACTAGTTTATAGAAAAAACAATTTAACGTGAAGCTTACAACATGGGAATGGGATTCTCTTAGATTGCAGAGTCTATGATATGCTGTAGAGGAGAAGGAACATTAAATAGTAGAGAAATAAGGAAAATTATGGAGATAACTTGATTTGAAGTTCAAAATGAAAATTATGCATATGGGCTTGTGTGATTTTGATGCAGGGTAGTGGGGGTAGAAACAAGGGTGCAATGAACGAAAGGGAATAATGAAATTAAACCGTTAATTTGCGCACAAATATCAGTTTAGATTCTTACTCTAGGCTTGTGTTAATTCACAAAGAATGCTAGTCCTAAAGGCTTTAGTAAATTTGTTGATTCTTAAGAATATCAGAAGAATTGGAAAGAAAAGAGAAAACTCTCTCAATTGTATATAATCAAGAGATGTTTTGCTCCAAGGCTTACAAGAGTTTATATAGTAGTAGAAACCCTAAACCAACTAGGAAACTAGAATCCTAATTAAATTAGGAAATAAAATAAAATAAAATCTTAATTAATAAAAAACAAATCAAGCAACTTTCTAATTAAATTAGAAAATAAATAAAAATCTCCTAGAAATAGTCCAATTGTCTTAATTAGAAAATAATTAGTTTCATTCCAACCGCATTGACCACATTCACCCAAAATCTCGGCTTTATTTTGATTCAAATTTGTTGAATGCTTGCATATAAGTATACTAGTTATTTGCCCGTGCCTGAAGGCACTATGTTACTTATAAAATTTAACACACAAAGATAAAATGTTTGAATAATTTCAACACAAAGCGATTAGATTGGTTTTGAACATTTTTTTTAGTGCAATTGGTATCTTATTTTTTTTGTATTGATCACTTATTTTTTTTTAATTGTTGATTAACTTGGGTTTTGAATTTTTTTTTAATTTTTTGAGAGCTGTATGTTTTCATACAGTAGTGATTTATTTTTGGTATGAATAATAACTTGATGATTTTATTTATGGATTATAAAGACAATTTAAACTTCATTGATCGATAAGAAGTAAGAAGTAAACATCAACCATCGGTACTAAGATGCGTGATAAGAAGATCTACTTACAGTGTACTTTAAGTATGAATCAATTTGTAATAAGAAAGGATGAAAAATTATATAGTAAGTATATAATAATTTTTAAAGAAATATTATACCAAAGGTTTTGAAAAAATTGATATACTAAAAAACTTACATGTCCAAAAATGGTAATATTGTCCATTTGGATACTGGTTTTTGTGTTGCAGTGACGGTGTGTATGCGGTTATTGAGGTCAAATGTCAAACTTTGAAAAAGAAACACTAAACTTAGAGATATTATGTATTTTATGTGTGTTTAATAGAAATATTTTTAATTTTATACAAAATTTTATCGTAAAATTAGAAATTAAACAAAACTAACTTAAATTAAGGTACAAACAATACACTTTTAACCTATAACATTTAGATTATTTAATTTAAAATGAATCCAATATGAATTGTTATTGTTCTTTTTCAAATTTAAGATAGAGACGTATGAGAGATAGAAGTGTAGATTCTTACGATAAGAGAATTTCTTCATTGGCGGGAAAAGAAATTTAGGACTAACTGTAGACCGTTAGATCAAAATTTTTGAGATAATCTGAACTGTCTTTTATGTTGGGATTACGTTGTCCATTGGATATGTTTATTTTTTGCCTCAAAACGACCTGGATCTTTCTTTGTCTTTTGGATTCAAACTTTGTTCTATTTTATTATATAAATAATTAGCTTATAACTTAGGTTTGCCAAGGAATTGACGTAAATGAACATCTCAAGCGCTGCTCATTTGTAGCTTGTTCAAAGCTCCTTTACATGTTAAATGAGCCGAGCTCAAGCCTCAACTTTGTCTCATTTGTTCAATAATTGCAACTTAAGTAGGCTGAAGCTCAACTTAGTTGTGAATAGCTTGATGGGACATTAAGTAATCTAAGGAAATCTCTATGCCTATTTATTACTTTCAAGCAAAATGCTTTTGCACCTTCTACACCTTTGAACTATATTTAACCATATATTCGTTGGACCAATTCTGAATATAGGTTAATGCATGTTGACATGAGTTGCCAATCGACTCTTATCTTTAAAAGATTTGAGTCATTAAGCATGCATGGTGGAATATGTCAGTTTTGTCTTTAAATGTTTTACCTTTTCCTATTTGTTACAATATGATTTGAATGATACCCTATTTGCCTGTTGAATTGAGCTATTTGCTACAATGCAATCTAGGAAGCACGGATACTTCCCTTATGGGTGCCGTGGTAGTACTGGACACTTGTCCGACACGGCTAGTGTCTTGAATAGTAAACTCAGTTGGACACGAACAGAATACGTCCAGGACACAATCAAAAAAATTTTTAAGAAAAAATAATTGTTAAATATTAAAAAAGGTGTGTTATGTTTTATGAATGTTGGTGGATATTTATTTTGATCTATTTTAATTTTAATCAAAAAATTAATATTTAGTAGGTCGTATTATTAATATTGCTATAATATATGCTTTATTTTTAATATATTACAATTCTATTATTATTTAAAAAATATATTATATTATTTTAATAACTGTATCTTTGGTGTTCTCGTGTCCTATATTTTTTAATTTTGTCGTACTTTCGTATCCGTGTCGTATTGGATACGACACCCATGCCCGTATCCGTACTTCCTAGACTCCAATGAGTCAAGATCTTGAACTTGACTGAACTCGAATGAAGCTTGAGTCCCACGCTGAGCTTGAGCAACCTGGTACTTAGTTTCCCTTAGTTTGTTTACAGCCCGAAGTTAACGGTAGCAATGGTTCATAGATTCTTGCGCAATTAACTCCTTCGGAAAAACAAAACTAATTGCTACAATTTAGTAAATTGATGCCCTTGGATATATTTTTATTATAATGGGACATTATTACCAAGATCCTTTTTCTGTTCTGATGGGTGCAAATATAGCTTTAATTGATCTTTTTATGTCTTACAGGTTTGATGGCTTTACAAGCACATTCCAGGATAAACTATTTAAAGGCTATGACATGGAAATACACAATCAGATATTCTACACAACACTATGCTCTTGTATACTCAGCTTGACTGGTAAATTCCCTTTCTATCTGAATCTCATTGATTACTAAGCATTTTTAAGCTATCTTCCTGGTAGTGTTGGGTTGGCCGTTAGGAGGCAAATTGGGGGTAGTGACCCAGCATTGTGGTTGTGCCGATTCCAATATTTATTCTGACCCTATAAGCAGATTAAGATATGTCATGTGTCTGTTAAATAAACTAAGGTGCAGTCCCATAGAGTCCCACCTGACGAGCCCTCATTCTTAGCCACAATGCCACATGCCATTAAGGGAACTGCAACATGGACCACGGCATAGCCATTTAGGCGCAGCTGATGGCTGTGGCACTTGAGCTTGAGGAGCTCCCTCAGCCATACTCTTGGTACCTTGGTTGGCACTTGTGCAAGAGTTTGTAAATTTCTTTGACCCATATATGCGTGCTGCCATGAGCAATAAGGATTTATTGCTTGTCCACTATAGCTGTGGCATAGGGAATGACTTGAGCTAATGTATGAGTACATCTTTTCTGAGAGTGCCTCTTGAGAGTATGTTTTGATGAAGGGGAACAGAATATATATGCTGGTGTTCCCTTGTCATAGAGTGTACTATCCAAACACGTCTACTTATTTACATAGGAAGGTTTGCAAGATGGCCTAGGAGGCATGAGTCAGCTCTGCACTGTATAACCTCATTTCAATCCTTTTTGGGTGTGTGTTGGCTTGTTCTTCTCTTAAACACTTTTTGTGTATGTACCTTTGTGGAAGGACGTGGGTTTCATTCACCTTGTCATGTTCCATTTTGCTTGTGCCCCCTTGTTAGCAGCCACTCAGCACTTGTGTCCTCGAGGTGAACTCCCCTTATGTATTTGATATTGTTTGATGATATGCATCATAGTGTCATTTATGCACCCTTTTTGCTTGTGTTTGTTGGTATTCCTTGATAAAGTTGTGTGCTAAACTTTTAAATCTGAATTTTTTATTAATGAATGCACATGAAAATCTGTTTTGGTTGCATTACACTGGCCGGTCAGTGATTATGTTGACTTTCTTTGTCTCTATTTAGGTCTAATATTACAGGGCCATCTTCTCATGGCAATAGATTTTGTTTCTCGCCATAATGATTGTTTTGTTGACGTTGCACTGCTTTCAACTGTAAGTGGGCTTTACAACCATACAATTTCTTTAAGATAAAGATCTTAAACTAGTTTAAGCATTCTATAACTATCTAATAGTGAATGAATACATGTTTGTTGCCCCCTTCTGAGGAACAAAAATTTATTTAGGATTTTCATTGCAGGTCGCTACAGCTAGTCAATTCTTCATTTCTTACACAATCCGCACATTTGGTGCTCTCACATTTGCTACCATAATGACCACAAGACAGGTAACTGAAGCTTGATCTTTTCCTGTTTGCTCTTCTCATCTCCAATTCAAATTGACAGTGCCCTATAAAATTCTGTTTGTTTATAGCTGGTGAGCATTCTGCTTTCATGTGTGTGGTTTGGTCACCCCCTCAGCTGGGAACAATGTGCCGGAGCTGTATGTATCTATCTATCTGAATCCTGCTTTATTTTTCATCAAGTTTCAGTAAGTTGAATTACACTTCTTTGGATTTATGGATCAGGTTATTGTCTTCGGTTCCCTTTACACGAAAAGTTTCTTGAAAAATAAACCTCAGAAACCTTCACCTTCAGAACAGATGGAAAATGGAGCTTCTAGTCCATTGAAGGGGAATCCATAGTACGAAATGGTCATGCGATGATAGGACTTGTTGATGCCTTTAAGTTTCGGGTGATAGCCTGATAACTGTGTGTGTATGAAGTCGCATAGATAGGATGCAAGATGCGGATGCGGATGCGGATGCGAATGCAAATGTTTTTACATAACTCCTGCAGCATGTATGTTGGCGGGTTCTGTTTGACTGAGCCCCATCTGCATCTGCTGGTAGAATCTACAATTGTAATTTTGACTGATCTTTAGCCCCAATTTTTACCGGGGATAAGTAAAGCCATAAAAATGTATTTTTGCTTAGTACAAAATGGTACTTGTTGATTTGTTTGTTGTGGTGTGGGTAAGGTACTGTTCTATCAAATGAAATTGTATTGATGATAACCTAGGCATAGCTCCAGGGGAAATAGGGACAATGACAATTTATAAATTTAGATGTCCTGAGTTTGAATTTTGACAATTGTTTGGGGTTAGGCCATAAAAGATTTATTCTTCTTGATTATCCTAGTCTTAACATGAATGACCTATTTTTGATTGGACTAAGAGAGAATTAGTTAAAGTGCGCGTAAGTTGGTCTGAACATTTTTGGCCGTTGAACAAAAAAAAAAAATTGTATTGATGATGCAATACAAATTATGCCTCCGATGCATATTGTGATAGATATGTTTCATACATTTGGGGGAGAAAAATCTTAGAAAAGGAAAGATCCTTGAGATCAAGTTTAAAATCTAAATAATAAAACATAAAGTTTCTCAAAACAAAACATGACCGACAGTTTAGATCGTTAAGATAAGATGATTATTTTAAGATTAATATTTAATATTTTAATCACAATAAATTTATCTATTTATATTTTAATATTTTAACTACAATAAAATTAAAAGTTTACTTACATTTTAACAAGTAACTAGAGTAAAAAAAAAAACACACGCTTTGCATTGCAAGTATAATCCTATAGTCATTGCACTTTGTGATATTTGATAAAACGAAGTTCACAAGGTTTTTTCCGCTTATGGAGTGAAGAGGTATGCCCATTTTGAATTCAAATATTTTTTATTATATTTTCGCTCAATTTCATTTGATAGTAGTATATCACCTACTCTCTATGAGTGTGGAGTCTACTCCACAAATAATGGTAAATAGTGAGTTCCACCTTATATAATAGAGAGGGGTTTCATGTTAAATGACTTCAACAATTGGCCCTACAAGTGGGGCATAGGGTTCTATCATCCACGGGACCTACTTCCTACAAGAAAGAATGGGTCAATGGAACCAACAGAAAAAAAGACTTGTTAGCAAAAAAAAAAAAAAAAACCCATTGAGATTAAATTGCCTCTCTAAAATCTTGTCTCTCTTAAACAGATAAAATTGATCTATTTACTAAAGATTGAGATTAAGCCAACCTCATCCCTCGTTTCAACTAAAGTCCAACTTACTTCGTGAGCCGAGTAAACATAGTTATAGTAGGGATATCATCATTCAAATACTCAATCATCATATGGGTAACTACAACATTTCACATAAAATTAATTCTAAATTAACAAAAAATAGAGCTAAATTAAAAGATCAAATATGTGATACTGCCGACTTAGTAAAATTTTGGAACCAATTAACACAATTAAATCAAAATTTTGGTTCGGAAATCAAAGTATTGCTTAATCCGTATTGTCACGTTAACATTTCATTACTTGGTCAACTCTTAAGAGTAATTTAAAGATTGAGTTTGACATTTGCTAACTTGGAGATCTCAAGTTAAATCTTTTTTTACACTTTTTAAAGGATATCACTCTTATCCTTTAAGGGCTCGTTTGATAGATGTATTATGAGAGGATTAAATATTGTATTGCACTATTTTTTATTTAATAGGGTATAATAGTTATTTGGTAAGAAAATTTGATACTATATTAATTTCAAAAACATATATTAATCGTATACTTATCGTATATTTTTTTATATGATAAATCTGTGATATAGAAGTCTTTTAATATCACCAAGAAAGATGGTTTTATAATCTAACTCAAATTTATTATTCTACATATTACTATTATAACCCCCAAATGATAAAATCAAGTTGTCATCAATGTAATAAACACTGATTAAATGTATTTTTATTAATTCAACAATAATACGATGAAATAATTCTCTACCCAAACAACCGATTGAATTAAATAACTACTATCCAACGATTATATTGTGTATTGTCAAACACTAGATAAAATTACGTTTTATTCTAATACTATATTTAATCTTTTTTTTTTATTTGTATTGCATTAGACTGTATTACTTTATCTAATCTATCCATTTTTAATACGACAACCAAATGAGCCCTAAGGGACATGCTCTAAACCAACGGGTCTTTGATCCAATAATACTTTTTGTTTTGTAAAAGTTTTATCTTCTTGAGGTTAAAGGTTCAAGCCTCATTCCCTCCCCTCCCCCCCCCCCCCCAAAAAAAAAAGGCATGTTCTAATCCAACTCAAACTCCGGTGACTAACCGTTAAATTTGAGAGAGTAGTCAATATAAACCTAAATATCCTGTAGCAAAAAAAAAAAATCATCACTTGTTGATAACTAGCATTCAATGTATGCATCGTTGTGGTTTATCAGTTCATGTATTGATTTTATTATTAAATTGTGGTATCACTTAATATTCATAATTAATATCATTATTTCTTCTATAAAGTACTAGTACTATACGACCTACGTTGAATAATATTATTTTTATAGAAAATTTAAATTATATGTGTAATTAAATTAAATAATAAATTAGGTACCGAGTAATTAATTCATATTTTAATTATTAATTTATTTTATAAGTTTTTTAGTAACTAATCTATCATTTACTTAAGTATCTTTTTAACTCTTTTAGGAATTTGTACATCTATTTATATTATATAATTATTAATTTTTATTTTGTTAAACAGATTGATTAGATCATTTATAATATTATTATATTATTGCATACCAAAAAATAAAATATAATATATATTTACTCGTAGAATTCAACTTGATAATTATGTGTATAATAATTTAATATATATAACACTTTACTTCTTCCTATAGATATAGATAATGATATGTAACTGTATTATTAATAAATCAGCTCATAAAAGAGTGCAAAATAAGTTAAAAATCAAATAAGTGTAACAAATATAGAAAGTAACAGCAGAAGTAGCAAAGTGTCTTACTCTATTGATCATAGTTTTCTTCTGTTGCGGCCGGTGCTCATTTGTGTGCGTGTGAACCAAACCAACAAACAAGGAAATGATGCCTCGCGGGGCATCTGAGAACGATTCAAGCCGTATGAAAGGAAACTCTCACGTACAATTTTTTTTTTTTTGGGGAGCCTAAGCAGAGTCCCCCACTAACTTGGTCTAGGCCTACGTGACAATGAAGTGGTGGGCCTATGTATGCTAGGATTCGCAAAGAGCAGCATCTTACGATTTTCATGACCAATCAAATCCTAACTCTGGTTCACCTTCAGCACCACTCCAAATTATCCAACATTCCTGACCCATCAAGAAGTAGATGAAAGTATATAGTTTAGTATAATTGGCTTTATCATATTAATTAAAAATAAGAAATCAATATTTTTTTGCCACATGCTGATATTTATAAATAATAATAAATAATAGGGAGAATTACATTCAAATATCTTGAGGTTTGTCACTTAATCACTCAAACTCTCTGACATTTAAAATATTATATATATACTCCCTAATGTTTGTACGCATACAATACTTAGACTTCTGTCGTCAATGTACGTTTATATCCCCGTTAATAAATTACACTTAAATTCCCTGAAATTTGTAAGCGTGTATAATACCTAAACCCCTCAAACTTAAAATGTTATACTTAAACAAAAAATACACTAATCAAAGATAAAATATCAAATATTTAAATTTTACAACTAAAATTCATGTTCTATTGTATCATTTCTTCAAATAAAATAAAAAAATAAAATTCAATTTTTTTTAAAAAAAATCGTAATTAGTGTACAATTATACTTTTATTGAAATAAAACTAAAAATTTAAACAAGAAGTTTAAACCATTTATAATAAAACATAAATTTTACAACTAAAATTCATATTCTATTATGTCATTTATTGAAATAAAATCAAAAATCAAAAATCTAATTTTTTCTTAAAAAATCATAATTAGTATACAATTATATTATTTATTGGAATACAACTAAAAAATCAAACAAAGGGTCAAGTCGTAATAGATGCAATATTTTCTATCTTTAGTTGGAGTAATTTAATAATTTAAATGACCAAATTAATTTCTAATAGATAGTATAAGTGTATGCTAATTAAGATTTTTTAAAAATTAAATTTTTATTTTTGATTTTATTTTAAAATATTTGATATTCTATTTTTGTTTGGAGTATTTTTAGTTTAAGTATATCATTTTAAACTTGAGGGGTCTAAGTATTATATGCCTATAAATTTCAGGGGTTTGAGTGTAATTTACTAACAAATATACTAATGGATATTAATGACAAAGATCTAAGTATTATGCGCCTATGAACATAGGGTTTGTGTATAATATTTTAAATATTAGAGGATTTGACTGATTAAATGGTAAATCTCAAAGGACCTAAATATAATTCTCCCTAAATAATAATAATAATATGAGCAATTACCCTAATAATATAGATATATATAGACAATATTATATAGACATCTCCTGACATTTTATAAATAAAACGGAGACTCCCTAAAGTTTGAAATTTATTGCACATAGACCTCCTCTGTTTCCCTTCCGTCAATGTTGCTAACGAAAAGTGATGATTTTATCCCAAATATTTTTATTATTTTTACATTTGTCTTTCTCCAACTTTAGTACCCAAAAAAATTAAAAAATTAATAAAACAAAATAATATTTGATTTAGTACCCAAAAAATTGATTAACTAAAATTTAATATTAATTTGATAACAATAAAAATTAATTTGATATTAATTCGACAATGTTAAATATAAATTAGACAAAATTAAATGTCAATTTTTGATAAATTATATATTAATTTACAATATAAGGTTTATTTCTTGTTGAATATTATTTGTTGTTAATTAAACTAACATGAAACTGACCTTAAGTTATAAATTTTTTTGTTGCATATAAACTTAAAAATTTATATTTTAACTCATAAAATTTAAATACATATTTTTGCATAGCATAGTGTCTTCTCTCTTACTATATTATTTGATAAATATTTTTTTTGGTTAAGATTCAACCACACATTCTTAAATAAAACCAATTGTTCACTCGCCTCACTTTTTTTTTTTAATAGATTGCTCACCTCAACTTGATAAACTCAAAAATCTCTAATTCACATGAAAATACGTGAAAGTAAATTAAAGAGTTGACAAAAAATTTGAAAAATTAATAGTCTGAAAAAATTTAAAAATTTTAGTACAAAAAAATTTGATAATATTGTCAAAAATATAATCTAAGGTCAATTACGTGTTTATTTGATCAATAATAAATAATATTTAATTTTTTCAAATTAATATTCAACTTTGACGAACTAATTTTAAATAAATTTTTATTGTTATCGAATTAATATTGAAATTTATTTAATTAATTTTTTGGGTACTAAATCAAATTCTGTTTGATTTTATTAAAATTTTAATTTTTTTGATACTAAATTTAGAGAAGGACAATTATGAAAATAATAAATTTTTTTTGGATAAAATCATCACTTTCTGTTAGCAACATTAACGGAAGGGAGATGAAGGGGGTCTTCGTGTAATGAGTTTCAAACCTCAGGAGGTCCCCCTGTTCTTTGCAAAATGTCAAAGAGTATCCGTGTAGTATTGCCAAAACTCAAGGGGTGTCCGTGATTTTTTATCCTAAAAAATAATGTGAGAAAACCGTCAAAATGACTTAAAAATCTTGTCTGGTAAAACCCCACACAATTCTAAAAGACAATAAAAAAAATATAAAATTTCACACCATAATCATCGCCCGCTCACACACACCTACACCTACACCTACAAAAAAGAAAAATAGAAACACAAAAAATATAATAAACAGAGCAAAAATTACAAAAAATTACAAAAATAATCTATATAAAAACTATTGTTAATGAAAATTCTAGAGGAATTTAGGTCATGAATTAATTAAGATCTAATTTCAGGCAAATATGTGAAACTTAGATAAAAAAGTCGTCAAATCGTGAAAAGTGTGTGCTATTTCTTATTTACATTAAATGTTATTTACAAATAATAAGTAAGTGATAAAATACATTCCGTTAGATATACAAAAACTTTGAATTAGTGTCATGAAATAAATAATTGCATGAGGACTTACATGAGAGATAGGAGTTTTAGAAAAATTTTGCGTGAGGATCATCAGATCAATAGTCGTCAAGTGATTTGAGCAGCGAAAAGCTCAAGACAAACTTCGCTAACTACTTTATTAAATAGAGTAGTCATTGTCCATACCCGAAATCACTATATATATATAAAAAAAAACTTAAACAATTGTCCAAATTCAAAAGAAATAGTCTAAAAATATTCATACAAATTCTACTTTTAAAATGATTCGAAATATTTCGTCGGCCATATCCTCCATATTAATAGAACTGTTATAAAAATATATAAAAACTCCCAAAACAACACCATACATATAAATACTCCTAAAAAAAATAAATACTAACGTAACTCATTGAAATTTATAATCTTTAAACAATATATTAAATAAATAAAATCTTGCTCATTTATAAGATTCGCGAATTTATCACCTCTACTACCACTCTACACAATAACATAAAATAATCATAAATTCAATCACCATATTTCCAATCCACTCTATCCCATGTAATAAATATTTCAAGAGAAAAAAATACTAACAAAACACAATTACACAATCTTTAAGCGATAAATAAAATCAACCAAATTTAGTTCATTTATAAAACTCATGAATTTATCACCACTATCACCGTTCAACCTCAAATGACACAATATAATTATAAACTTAATCACCAAATGTCTAATCCTCTAAATATAAATATACATAGAAACACACTCGCACACATTTGTTTTTTGGTTACTAACAAACTCTTCTAACTAATAATTTTTTTTTTAGAAATACAATAATTCAAGTTTTTAAGGTAAAATAATAATATATTAACGTTTAATTAAAAAACAGGGTAAGAATCATTGATATCCTCTGAATTTTAATAATATTATACGGACACGCCTGATATTTTCTAAATAACATAGAGACTCCCTAAAGTTTATTATTCATTGCGGAGAGACTCCTTATGTCTCTCTTTCGTCAATGTTGCTAACGAAAATTGATCATTTTATGTTAAAAAACTTTATTAATTATTACAACTGCCCTTCTCCAAATTTAGTGGCAAAAAAGTTAAAAATTTAATGAAATCAAATAAAATTTGATTTAGTACTCAAAAAAAATTGATATAATTTAGTATTCCAAAAAATTGATTAAATAAATTTTAATATTAATAAAAATTAATTTGATATTACTTTGACAAAGTTGAATATAAATTGGACAAAATTAAATGTCAATTTTTGATAAAAATATATATTAATTTATAATCTAAGATTCATTTGGTGTTGGATATTATTTGGTGTTTATAGTCAATGTGTTATTTTTTATTTACATTAAGTGTTATTTATAAATTAAGAATCAAGTTGCAAAACACATGTCGTCAGATATATAAAAACTTTTAATTAGTTTTATGGTATAAATAATCACATGACATGTAATTTTATCTATTTTATGGTATAAATAATAACAAAAACAATACAAAGGAAACAAAGAGAGAGAGAGAGAGAAAGAGTATAAGATAGATAGATAGATAAGTAGAGAGAGACTTATCTGAGATGAGAGTCTTGAGTTGTAAAAAAAAAATGAAAGTCTAATTATAAAATATAAGCAATCTAGCAAGTGGATATAGAGAAGAAACCAAACCGGATTAAAAAAAGAAGCAGATGAATTGACTTGGCAAGTGGGTTTTACTCGGAAAGTAGGAATCTGATAAGGACGGAAAAACAGCTGAGTGGGTTTAGGATTTATATTCGAACTGTCTACCAGTCGAGTAAACGATTCCTCTTCTTTCTCAAGAGACAGACAAATTCGCAACTTATTATAGTTACCATAACAATAAAGGAAATGTTTATTTTGACTTGATACCCCCTAAGTTTTGTCAAAATAAATATGGCCTCGTATTTCTAAAATTATACGGACATCACAAAAAAAATTATTTCTGGTTTAAAACAAAACAAGCCGTATGTCATTTTTGATAGTAAAACTCCTATAAATTTCATGTTTTGAAGTCAAACCATCGTCGAACCTCAAATAAATAAGCAAACTCCTTCCTTGCTCCATGCTTTAAACTAGTGAGGCAATGATTCGGCTAGTTTTATAGGTTCAATTGGTCGTAATTTAATTTGATTATGATTTTATCTGTGTCGATTCATTCATTGTTGAAAATTGTCAACTTGGTTTGATTGATACTGGTTATGCATGGTATTGTGTAGGTAGGTAACAACATGTGATGACATGTAATAACTTGTGCACCCACACAAGCTTGAGAGAGAGAGAGAGTAAAACAAGAAGGAAATGTGTATTTAGATACAAGATCGATTTTTTAAACGAGTTTTGATATAAGATTAATTTGTCCCTATTGACAATAATTTTTTTTCCTGATCAGATTATTATTGACAATTCAAATATTATCCTTGTGACACAATCATTTCAAGGGGCAGACGAGGTATTCAAATTATAACTTACAAAACACATTATTGGGTTTCCGCAACATTTTGGAAACAATAAAGGTGATGTTGTCGTAATTTAACATAACTACGAGGATATAAATGTAATTTGACCGAACAATAATCCATTAGCCTAGGGTTTTTTTGGTTATCCACTAGGACTAATCTCACTTTGTACCCTTAAAAGATATTTTAATTTTTAATTTATATCTTTAAACATTAAAAATCTTAATTTACACAATTAATATTATAAATTAGTAGCAACGTGGACCTGACTCGGACAATCATATCATTTTTTGTTAAAAATTTAAGCACCTGAAGTGCAAATACTTTGAGCATAAGGACAAGGAAAGTCTGTCACTATAGATCTTCGTATACAATCAATTTGACAGTATTTTGTGTATCGACAATAGAGTTTAATTAGTCAAATAGAAATTAATCATATCACGTGCAACTCATATGAGATACCAATAATATGCTAATTTATACTTAAGTCCATGCCTAAAATACTTTCAATTCATGTATTTTAATTTATAACAGAAAACTAGAGGCAGTCTAGGCGAAGTCTACGTTGATATTAATTTATAAAATTGTGGGTACAAATTAAATATTTTAATATTTAAAGGTACAAATTAAAAATCGGAAGAAATTCAAAATGAGATTAACCCTATCCATTAACTAATTGAAAATCTTCATTATCTACAAAATATTCTTCTGTTGCTATCCTCCTCCTATCTCGAAAAATCTTTTCGTATCCCTACGAATACTCGCCGACCCTTCCTAAGTCTCTTTATATTTAGACGCTTCTTTGTTGCATTAGGTGTGTGAGTCAAGTGAAGAACAATTTCTTTTGTGCTTGAGGGAAAGAGAGAAAGAGAGAGAGTGTGATGGATATCGAATTAACACCCAGATTGGCGAAGAAAGTTTATGGTGGAGAAGGTGGAGCTTATTATGCATGGTGTCCTGAGGAGCTCCAAATGCTGCGTGAAGGTAACATAGGCGCCTCTAAGCTTGCTTTGGAGAAGAATGGGTTTGCTCTGCCTCGGTACTCTGATTCAGCCAAGGTCGCTTATGTTCTTCAAGGTGTAACATATACCCACAAGTTTACAAATATGATTATTAGTTTTATTTAATTTTGTTCTGTTGTGGGTATGATTTGATTTAGGGATAAGTTTGTTACTCTGATTTGGGTAAGTTTTGGTTTGTTGATTTGTTTCAGTCCTGTTTTGGTTCGTCTACATGTCTCTAAATCTGATTGTTGTTAAATTTGTTTTGATGAGATTCATGTTGATCTAAGGGAATTTTAGAGTTTTTATATAGTTGAATTTCAGTATTGCGTTGATTGATTTCGTTTTGACTGATATAAGTTATGCTTATGTGCCAGATGGATTGTTGTTAAATTGTCCTCGAAATTAAGTATTGTTTCTGTTTTCATTTTAGTATTGGGGTTCTATGTAAAATTCTCCTCAGTTGTATAATGTATTGTGCAGGTTTGTCTCTTCTTTTTGTCTGGACGTTTGTTGTAGTAGTCTGGGGGAAAGTCAAATAGAGCTAAGGGTTTTTGTCCAAATGCTTGGCTCGAAAGTGACGCTTCTGTTGGGTTGTTCTTCTATTTTCATAATTTGTGGGTGGGATTCTACTGTATGATCTTTGAATACTGTATGATTTTTGTCCTTCATTAGTTGATGCCAATTTCTTTATCAAATAGTGAACCCAATAATTAATCTTATCATCCTTTTTCAATTGCAAATGGATTGAACTTGAGTTGATTGCATTTCCTTCTTGAGTCTTGACACTTGTTTTCTTGTTCATTTGAGATTTAATAGGGTTTTACATTGGCCACTTACGGCAATCCCCCTCCTTTAACTGGCTTGGGACCATCTATGTAAAAAACAGTCATTAAACATGACACATTTGTTGACACTTGTATTTATCTAATCATATCTGATACGTTGGCAGTAGCTGTAGTTAATCTTGCAATCGACCATAGTTAGATCCTTGGATACGTCATTATGATCCTGAGTTATGTGTATCTGCATAGTCTGAAACTTTTTTTCACATGGTCCATTTAAGTCTCTTCTAACCTTTGTCGCTGGTGAATTTTTGCCACCATTAGGCTGTGGAGTTGCAGGAATTGTCCTCCCTGAGCAAGAAGAGAAAATTGTTGCCATCAAGAAGGGTGATGCCATTGCCCTCCCTTTTGGTGTTGTGACATGGTGGTTCAACAAAGAGGACACTGAGCTTGTGGTTCTCTTCCTGGGAGACACTTCAAAAGCCCACAAAGCTGGTTCATTCACTGATTTCTTTCTGACGGGGACTAATGGCATTTTCACTGGCTTTTCATCTGAGTTTGTGGGCAGGGCATGGGACTTGGAAGAGAATGTTGTGAAGTCCCTTGTTGGAAAGCAAACGGGGAGTGGCATTGTCAAGCTCGATGCAGCCTTTAAGATGCCTGAACCCAAGAAGGAACATCGAGATGGCATGGCATTAAATTGTGAGGAAGCACCATTGGATGTCAACATTAAGAATGGGGAAGGGTTGTGGTGTTGAACACTAAAAACTTGCCTTTGGTTGGTGAGGTTGGGCTTGGTGCTGATCTGGTTAGGTTGGATGGAAGTGCTATGTGCTCTCCAGGTTTCTCTTGTGACTCGGCACTGCAGGTTACTTATATTGTTAGGGGTAGTGGCCGTGTTCAGGTTGTTGGTGTCGACGGAAAACGTGTCTTGGAAACAACTATTAAGGGTGGTAATTTGTTCATTGTGCCAAGGTTTTTCGTTGTTTCTAAGATTGCTGACCCTGATGGCCTGGAGTGGTTCTCTATCATCACTACTCCCAAGTAAGTTTCCTTTCATAGTGACTTCATCGGGTATTTGTTCAAAAAGCTTATTCTAAAATTGTGTGATTCTCTATTTTTTGTTGTCTAATTCAAATGATATTGTATATGGTAGTCCTATATTCACTCATCTAGCTGGAAGGACTTCAGCGTGGAAGGCATTATCTCCCCAGGTGCTGCAAGCGTCCTTCAATGTGGCTTCTGACGTAGAGCAGCAATTCAGCTCGAAGAGGATGTCAGATGCCATTTTCTTCCCTCCTCCTAATTAACTGGATTCCTCCCATTTTAGTTTGCCATAGGAATAAAATCTAGTATTTAGCAGTTTCCTTTCATATTTAAGCTGTTTTTATGGTGGTGGTGGTGTTTCACATTGGATATTTAAAAATAACATGTTTTATTTTGGATTTTCATATATAAAAGTCTTTGGCATTTGCTAATGTGGGTTTTGGTTTAGCTGTTCTGTTTACAATTTTCTGTTGCTTAATGACCTACCATTCTTATTTCTGTTCTCTCCTCTTATATTGCCCGATAGAGTTTTGTGGATGATGGAGATGCTTGAACTAGTATGTGATGTGGATGCTCATATTAGACAGGACACTGTAAACTGCAACTAAAGAAATGGGGAACTAAAATGAAAAGATTAAACAATCAACGCGTGTCATGTTATAATTAGACAAAAAGGTATAATATTGAAAAACATCATTCATACCATAATATGAATCTAAGAAATGATACATCTTAGTGTCCCTATGGCTTTTGATACTTGGGAATTATAAACACAAAGAAAAATTCATCAGAAGGAACAGGTATCCAGGATCTGCCAAACAACCCACAATAAGAACTCCAAGAAAAGGATTTTTATTTTTATTTTTAAAGGAAATGTAATTCAGAAAATTACATGACATGAATATTGGAGGTCTCCTTTTTCAATCAGTATATTATAATGAAAATTAGACTAGTCAATCGTATTGGGTGAGGCGGGTTCGTGTCGTATTTTAACATGTTTCGTGTTAAAAAACACTCCATCTATAACCGATATCTAACAAATCGTGTCATATCGGGTTTGTGTCGTGTAGAAATTGTGTATAATCAATATATAAATGAGTCATGTCGTATATTTCTTTTAATTGATTGATTTCACTCATATTCGGTTTGTTTATTAATCGTGTCGGGTCCACTTATTTATAAAACGACTAGTTTAAAGAAGACCCAAATCCCTCTAATTTCGCGTCGTCTCAACGAATCGTGTCATATTTTGAGACCTTTAATGAAAATAACAATTAACCAAATAGTTAACCAAAAAACAAAAAGAAGAGAAACATGGAGAAAATAAAAAGAGATTTGGATAGACAGAATGCTAACATATCTCTTGATATACTTACCAAGAGTGCTTATATAAAATTGTTACTTACACTTGCAATGTGTTAAATAAAAAATAATCATATTTGCATTTTTTTTTTGTCTAAGATTCCAAGTCAGGAATACAAATTTCAAAAAAAATAAAATTTAGCTTGGATGAGACTCGAGCTTAAACCCACACCATTTGCAGCAGGCTGGGATGAATTCCTAAGATCATCGCCACCCCTTTTATCTTAAGCTTTGTTTACTAAATTACTGCTTTTTTTAAGAACTTAATTTCTTATGTACCAGTAAGTTTTAAACTTATTTTTTGATCTATCATTTTTGTAAAATCATTGTTAAACTAAAGTTTTTTTCAATGTAAAAATATTTTTGTAAAATACGTTTTTGTTTTAAAATTAAGACAATTTAGAAAATATAAATACACAATTACGTATTAAAAAACAAGGGATATAAAAATTAATTCTTCAAAAACTTATGTTCCGTTTGGTCGGAAAGATAGAAAGTAGAAGGGATGAAAAATAAAAAAAATATATTTTATATCTTTCAAGTAAAGAAAATAGGAATGATATATTTTCATTCCTTTGTGTTTGATTGGATGAATGAAAAATAAAAATAATTATTTTTTTTTGTGCTTAATAAGATGGAAAAAATATTTTAATTTTAATTTTTTATGTTTTATGTTTAAAAAATTTTATTTTAAAAAAAATATATAAAAATTAATGTATACACAATATATGTATATATAAAATGATATATAGATAAATAAGATACATTTCAACACAAATAATTAATTTTTCATCCACTTTCTTTCTAATTTTGGAAGGATTAATTTTAGTGAGTTGAAAAGAAAGTTCATTTATCCACTTTTCTATTTTTTTTACCAAACATGATATTTTATCTATCTTTTCAACTTTCCATTCTTCCATTTTTTTATCGTACCAAATGGAAGATTAAGAAATTTGATCTTCTTCCAAATTTTGTTTTCTTGTACATCACTCAATTGGAGGGATAGATAAAACCTCATATTTAGTAAAAAAAGAAAATAGATCCGATAAAAAAGTGGATTAATTAATTTCCTTTTTAACTAATGAAACAATTTTTCGACATATTGCCCCTCCCCTTCAACGGCTATTAAAAAAAAAAAATCTTTTTAACTCAATAAAATTAATCTGTCCAAAATTGAGAGAAAAAATAGATGAAATATTAATTATGTGTGTTGAAATATATGCTATTTACTAACATATCCTTTAATATATACATATATAATATATTATGATAAAATATGCATGTACATTTTTTCTATTCTTTCATTTTTTCATTCTACCAAATACAAAAAAATTATTCCTTCCTACTTTCTATACCTATTACCAAACAAAAAAGGTTGAAAAAAATAATTCCTCTTTCGAATAATAAAAAAAATATTACTTTCACTTTCTATCATTCTATTTTTCTATCTACCCAAACAAGTACAACATAAATATAATATTGGATCATTAGTAAATGTAATGTTTATAATAATACTAAGAGTTTTTAGTTAATGACATATTTTGGGTACGACGTTATCTTGAAAAATGTGAGTTGAAACTATTTTTTTTGAAAGAATAATAATAAATTATTAAAAAAGTCAATAATTATGATTTGACAAAATACCTTGGTTTGGAAATTGATTTCTTGAATGCCATCAGTAGCAATGCATAGCAGTCCCACGGCATAAATAATCCTATATATTTATTTATGCATACCTTAGTTTGCACCTCTAGTTTTTCCCTCCAACGAACTCTTTCTTCCCTTTGGATTCTCCATCAGTTCAATGAGACCATTTTTTCATTCAATGCTCAATTCACGATCCAAACCGGTCAATTCTGCGTCAACCTTCATATCTCAACTTTACATACACACCAAGCACAAACCTTCTCAACCTTACCGCCGTATTCGTCCTCCCAAACCATCCCCCGAACAACCTGGCCAACACTACCCAAAGCCTGTCCGCAGACCCATACCATTCATCACCAATCTCAAACAGGTCCAAGACCCAGATGCAGCACTCTCTCTCTTCCATGAATACCATCAAATGGGATTCAAACATGATTACCCCTCTTACGCTTCTCTCATTTACAAGCTCGCTCGTTCTCGTAACTTCGAAGCAGTTGAAACCCTTTTACATTATCTCCAAATCTATGACATTCGATGTAGAGAAACCCTTTTCATTGCACTCATTGAACATTATGGGAAAGCCAGATTGCCGGATGAAGCCATTAATCTCTTTTACAAAATGCGTTCTTTTAACTGTGCTCGTACAGTACAGTCTTTCAATACACTTCTTAATGTACTCATTGATAATGGTCGGCATTGTGATGCGAAGGAGATGTTCAAGTGTTCCTCCAAGATGGGATTTCGATTGAACTCTGTTTCGTTCAATATTATGATCAAAGGGTGGCTTGAGAAGGGTGAGTGGGAAAAAGCTTGCCAGATGTTTAATGAAATGCTTGAGAGAGAGGTTGAACCCACCGTAGTGACTTATAATAGTAAAATTGGGTTTTTGTGTAAAAAGGGTGAATTTGATAAAGCAAAGGGTTTGTTTGAGGAGATGGTGAAAAAGGGGAAGAACCCGAATGCAGTCACTTATGCTTTGTTGATGGAAAATTTGTGCTCTTCGGGAAAGTATAAGGAAGCAAACAAGATGATGTTTGATATGGAGTATCAAGGGTGTAAACCACGGCTTGTCAATTATGGTGTTTTAACGAGCGATCTCTGCAAGAGGGGGAAGATTGATGAAGCAAAGGCTTTGCTTGTCGAGATGAAGAAAAGGCGGATTAAGGCAGATGTTGTGATGTACAATATATTGATTAATTATTTGTGCAAGGAGGGTAGAGCTGCTGAAGCTTATAAAGTATTGGTTGAAATGCAGGTTAAAGGTTGTGAGCCAAATGCAGCTACATACCGGATGATGGTTGATGGGTTTTGTCATGTGGGGGATTATGAGGGAGGTTTGAAGGTTCTCAATGCAATGTTAATGAGCAGGCATTGTCCCCGTTTGGACACTTTTTGTTGTTTAATTGTGGGCCTATTCAAATCTGAGAAGATGGATGATGCTTGCTTTGTGTTGGAAGAAATGCAGAAGAGGAAAATGAGATTCAATTTGGAGTCTTGGGAAGCTCTAGTTACGGATGCTTGTGATAAAGATAGAGCTGCAAGTGAACTTGTGATTGAACTGGTCTCTGCCCATTAATATGCATTCGTAGTTGTGGTCTGATCCATGGAAATTTGCAGAGTAGGTTTGATCATACCTGCTGCAAGGCGATTTGATGTTCTTGCTGGTTGGTGAATAGCATCATAGGATTGCAACACAGGTTATGGCATTAAGCGATCATCGATTTGAGCATTTGCCTGTTATTATGTTTGGATTTATCAATGTCTGCTCCACTGTCTATCTTCTTTATGGACTGGGCTCTTGCCTCCCATGTAGAAGTGAAAAAGCAAGATTTAAATAACAGATTGGAGGCCGTGGAAACAGTTCCTGGGTTTGAAGGGCTTGGTCTTGACAATAATCAGCTGTTGGGTTTTCCATCAAGCTTTATTCAAGTCATGGTGACCCTAACCAGTGCTCGGCAAACTTTGCTGCTGTTCCGTGTTATACAAGAAATAATGTTGCAGGAGCGTTTTGCATTCAAGCAGGTACATCTTTTAAGTTTGTGTTTGAGTATCCATATAAGAAGCAACCTGAATTGATTCAAATCAACGAAATTTGTGGACTTGTGGCCGTCTCAGGATTACCTTTATTCAGAGTGTGGATAAAAGAATTCTTTAATGCAGAAAGTTCAAAACTGGGGGCAAAGGGAAAATTTTGTGTACAGGCCTGGTAAGTAATGTTATACAAATTTAATTTAATTTTATCGCTGAACTTACAAAATTTAAATTGAAAAGTTGACGTCTTGTACAAGTGGTCCTTACGATAGATTTATGGTTGCTTTGCTGTCTATGTGCAGTTGTTTGCGAGGCAGTTACCAGTTCACCACTAAGTTCGATATCTTTTTATTAGCAACGCTTTTCCATCCCCAAATGAGTTCCTTGCTGGACCATCGACCAGAGCTGTGGTTGAGATCTCTAGTACTTGAGCAGAATTACTTTGTATCTAAAGTATTTTTCATTGCTTGTATCATTTCTAAACACAGCCCTCTATATCGACCTAATCAGTATTTTAAACTTCAAACTTGGTGTTACAAGTTCTAACTAATACACCCAAAAGTGGGTAACGTAATCACCTGCTCCATTTCATCAACTCCCCTATAATTCTTTGAACTTCAATCTTCCTTTTACAGTGTATATAAACAACCAATCAATCTATCCCATCAAACCAACAGCCTTCTCAATCAAACCTCAGTATCCAAAAGCTTTACATTATTCTCTCAACCTCATGGCATCCAAAAATTCCTTTCCTCTCTCACTCAAAAGGAAGCTCTCCCTAGTTTTTCTAGCCATCACAATCACATATGTCACCTCAGCTCGAGTCCTCGACGAGGAAGAACCGCTTGGCCCTGTTGTTGCACCTGTGGCATCTGATTCAGTGGACCAACCCGTTTCCGGTGGAACCCCAGCAGGTACTGCCCCAGTTGCTGCACTGGGTGCTGCAGTCCCTGATGATCATACCTTTTCCTTCTTCTTGCATGACATACTTGGTGGTACAAACCCCTCAGCTAGAGCTGTGACTGGAATGGTAGTGAACCCAGCTCTTAATGGTCAAGTCCCGTTCGCCAAGCCCAACGGTGCTGTCCTCCCAGTTAACAATGGCGTCCCAGTCAACAACGCCAACAGTGGAGTTATCAACAACAACAACTTACCCTTCCTCACTGGACTTGGTGGAACTACACCTAATGTGATGCAAAACAATGGAAACAACATCATCGGTGGAGGGTTCGGGTTTCCAGCCCTGAATAGTGCCCAGCTCCCCGGAGGGAATGCCCTCCAGAAGCTCATGTTTGGGACAATAACCGTGTTTGACGATGAATTAACCGAAGGGCATGATCTCGGTTCTGGTTTGGTTGGTAAAGCACAAGGGTTTTATATAGCGAGTTCAGAAGATGGAACAAGCCAAACCATGGCGTTCAACGTCATGTTTACGAGTGGCAGTTACGTTGATAGTCTCAGCTTCTTCGGTGTCCACCGGACCGCTGTCTCGGAATCACACCTTGCCATCATGGGTGGCACTGGGAAGTATGTCAATGCTAAAGGCCATGCCATAGTTAAGACCATTCCGGCAGTGTCCAGCCAGCATAATACCGATGGAGTGGAGACTATATTGGAGATAATTGTGTATCTCACTTACTAGTGTGTTTATATTTGATTGTGTCTGTCTATGAATGCTGAAATTTCTGTATGAAAATTGTGAGTGCTTAAAATGTTGGTATTTTCGAAATTAGTTGTAATTTGTGATGTTGAAGTTATTTATTTGTTTTTACTTCTGATAAAAAAAGTTATTATTATTATTATTATTATTTTTGGGATATTGGGAATTTGAGATGCTAACTAAAGCTCGAATACTATGGACAAGAAAACAAAATATTTAGGAGATTTTCACATGGTCTAGGAGTTGACTTCAATTAAGGCGAATGTCGAATGTCGGTGTTGACTTCAATTAAGGAGATTTTCACATGGTCTAGGAGTTGACTTCAATTGAACCTTCCACAATCAAGAATCTTGTTCAGTGCTACTGAGTTTGGTTTCGATCAGCAATGGCGAATGTCGGTGTTGTCCAGCGCTTCAACTCCGAGGAGGAGTTTTATCAATGCCGTTCATGTGCTACGCACATAGCATTAAAGTCGGATTTCTTATATGCGTTGGTGGTACACCCTCTTCCCCTCTCTCTCTCTCTCTCTCTCTCTCTGTGGGTGTGGGTCAATAGAGATTTGATATTTAATATGGTGGCGTGATATTTTTCAGCCCGGAGCAAATGGAGACACCGGACTGGCATTCTCCGAAGTGTACGACTGTATTTATGTGCTTTCTACTTCTTTAATGGCTTTATTATTTTGATACCTTCATAAGAGCTGTGAAGTTTAGATATGCTATTGGATATCAAATTATTTGCATGTTGTTACTCTATAGACTTTTATTATATGCTTGAATATCATATTGATGTTTCTATTTGGTAGTCAAATTTTGTTCACCATGACCATGTCTGTCGAGATTCATGGGATAAAATTTATGTTTTGAAAAAACTTGACATCCATAGTAGAGATATATGTATTAAGTCTTGTACTTCTTGTTCTCGGAGGATTACAATATATTTACTCATATGAAAATCATTTCAAATGTCACTGGCAATGAGTTTATCATTTAATGCTCTCGAATTATAAAAACTAATATGATCAATTGAAAATATTGTGATTAGCCTCACATATTTATAAGAGTTGTAATTAATGTTCCTTTTTTTTGGTTCTTTTTCTGTGTTTTATTGACTTTTGGACTTTTACTGTTAGTAAATATTCATGTCTACATAATACAAAATATAATATAATAAATATAAATGTTTTATTTTTTTGTCATCAATAAAAAAAAATTAAGGTGTCCACCCTAATTTTTTTTTTTTTGCTCCGTCTTTGGTGTTAGGGTTCCCAATTTTAACTGGCTAGGTTGGGTAATTAAATTTACGCAATACCTGGGTTGAGGTATCAGGTTATCAAATTCAACCCGAATTCTAAATCGGGCTCAATCCGAGTATATTTAAAAATAAATATATAAATCAATATAGTAATATAACTTACAAGTTAAAACACTTGAGATCAGTCTTATGTTAAAAATTTGGCTATTATGTCTTTATGTTAAACATTGATTTTTATGTTTTAAATATTATGGTTTTTATGGTAAACATTTGATTGAAGTTGTTGGTAGTTATTTAAGATGAATACTATGTAGTATGTACCATGTTTAGAACAAGAGGTTGATTTTAGACTTAAATGAACTTAACTCGAATTTAATCCGAACCCGACAAAATTAAACTTGGGCAACACTCGGATCAATTTTAATACAACAGGATTAAATAATTGCTTTTTACTACCTATATTTTTTACTCAAACTATTTTTATGTAAATATTAAAAAGATAAGGTATCTGATCACACTATATTTTAATTTATTACTATTAGAGGCAATTGGATGATCAAGTATGTATAATCAAATTTTCATAAATTACATTTTGTTTTCTTAACTTAAATTTGAGGCCTTTATTTATCTATGCTGAACTTTTTGCTTAATTAAGACCTGGCTAATATATGTTACATTACAGATCCAATGTGTACAAAGATGTTGTGCACACCAGGGTAGTGGGCGGTCGAGTGGTTGCAGATATCTACTGTGTCACCTGCTCAAGTTGTATAGGATGGGAAGTTGTAGTAGGATATAAATGGATTCGAATTGATCTGTAAGTCCTCTATTCGATATACAACTATAATTATTACGTCCTTTAATTGCTTATAAACATTATTATGGTTTGCCGGTCAAAAGTCCAATATTGGGACGGACAGGATCTAAGAATTCCGGATCCGGATCCGGATCCAGATGATATTCAGCGTCCTCCGGATGAATTTCCAGATCCTGGTTTTGGTTCTGCTGCTGCTGCTGCGGCATCGGCATAGGCTTAAATGTTAGTTCTTAAATCAAAATTCATCATATAAATTTTTCAATACAATTATTTCAATACATAGCAGAATCGTGGATAGAAAATTATACTAACAACCTACCCAATTTATTGTATGTGCAATGCAAATTGTCTTTTAGCTAATAAGTCCGTTGATATTATTATCTAGTTCAAGTCTCTCTATCCCCGAAAAATCCATTTGACCCCTTAACTATTTATCCTATCCCTTTTGGTTAATGGTTTAAAATTCGTTATCTTTCTCATTCAATCTATTCGTTTACAAAAGGATATGAGCAGAACCGGTTTTCTCTTATCACAAACAAAGAAATCCAATTTTTTTTGGTTGAGATGGATAAAAAAGCTGATATAAGAATTCTTCATATTCTTACGGGTTTTGTTTCATGATTTGTGAACAGAGCAAACATCTAGAGAGTTGTGCCAATACAGGCCTGCAAATGTCCACTTCAAAGGGCCATTTCTGCCTGCAATGCAACAAGTTCATCCTCCTCAGCCGTGTTCCTATGGGGTGCTGGGCGTGCGGGTTGCCTGCCAGCAGGCACCTGAACTGGAGCAGCAGGGGCAGTTGTGGCCGGCTGTAGGAGCTGTTCCTCCAACTCGGCCTCTTCCAGTTCTGCCTCCAATTCATCCTGAAACAATACTTTTGTTTAATGTATCATTCGAGAATTAACAAAATCTACACATAGATAATTAGAATTGATGAGACACAAACTTCGTCAAAATCAGCTGCTGCACCAGTAGGTGCTGATAATGCTTCCTGAATCTGTTTCATACACTCAGTTTGCTCATTGATCTCATCCATTGTTTTGTCCACATCATCAATATTCCTGCATCATAAGATGCCATTAGAAGATCTATGAGGGCAGGATATTTACCATATGCACGTTACAAAATTCCTAACAAGCAATGAATATACAAAATTGCCCCCATTGATGAGCAGTACAGAGGAGAATCTCTGATCCTAATCCAAAAAATGTGAGAAAGACACTAAAAAAAATAATCAAGGCAGTGAATGCCAAAAGACCAAATCAGGAATGAGATTGACATGTAATCATCAACAAACTGTTTAACTTCTATGCAGCATGAAACCCAATAAAATGATGAACGACATGCTAAATCCATCTAGATCTGTAACAGGCAATATTCATCTAAATGGAGCATGCAATGTGTTTTCACATCGCTTGTAAACTATTATGCTTGGTATTTTACAACTCCAGAAATTAGTCTTTCCAAATTGCCCAAGGAAAACCATCCCCATTTATTAATCATGTCTTGTTTCAGCTTAACACCATAAGATTTCAAGATGACTCCAAGTTATAGCCAAAAGAGAGAAATTCAAGGAAGCAAAACGTACATAGCCTTCTGCATGGCCTTCATTGCAGCTGCACCAGTTCTCAAAGCATCAACTGTCTCTGTTGTAGCTTTTGCGCCTTCTAGCATTATCATCTGATATCCAAGCTCAAAGAATGTTAATATTTAGCAATCAATCTTCAAGAGAACATCATGGCCGCATTACATAAAAGATACTAGATTTACAATCTATCAAAAGAGTACCTGGTCATGAATGCGCAGTTGAAAATTTCCAAGCGTTTCAATATTCTGTTCATGTTGTTTTTTCCTCTTTAAACATTGCATTGCATCTGAAAATATGCAACAACAAAGAAACTCAGCAGTGAAACAACCAAATTGAGAAGGAAAAAGTTTAACCACACACTATTGACTTTAAAAGATCCACAGATAAATCAGAAAAATGACATAATGCTGCTTGTTCCTGCCTTTTTCAGATTAGTTTGTAAGTGTTTCACGTATAAAAAGTGCAGATGAGAAGCCATGTATATGATTACATGACATAACAATGGTAATTAGGATCAACAAGAGACCTAGTAGAAAAAAGGCAAAAGCAACATGTTCAGCATAAGACCAACCTGCACAAAGTACCATGATGGAAAGCACCACCGTCATTTTCTCACATACTACATTAGCCAAAATGTTATTATCCAGATGCCAATACGAACATTAAATTTGATGAGAATAGACCTTATGAACCAAGCTTTATGGAGATAGCCAACTGACTTAAGGAGCATACCAACAACCCAAATTATCACTCTCTTGGTATCCCCTACCATTTCAAGCATATATTATTCCCTTAACCATCACAATGGTCTTTATAAATCAGATGCAATTAAAATACAAAGTTTAAAACAAACACATAACACCCAAGGGCCCCAACCTACACTAGCACAAATACATAAAAATAATCAACAAAAATCAATCATGGTATATGAATATAATAACAATTACACAACCTAGTGGAGAAGAACAGAGATAATAGATCTTATAGTTCATAACTCTAAAAAAAATGTGCCAAAGCCTATTCTATTTCAGCATGCATCCATAAATCATACCTCTTTTGTTTTTTGCTTTGGTAAATTCCTTGGCCCTTTCAAGCTCTGCAGCAGCTTTCTTTTGGACAACTCTCTTTTTTCTCTAACATTTCTAGTGTCTGCATAGAGTACCGACCAAAACAAATATATAGCGAAAGGCAAACAATGCATTTAAGTTATAAGAGGCATTTGGTTACTCTATGTGTTTGTGCATATGTGTGTGAGAGAGAGCTCTTTAATGGGAAAAAGAAAAACTTTCTGCTAGGACAACAACAAATTAGTAATTAATCAACACCGTTAACTAAGACACCCCAACATGGAATAAGTATTTGAAAGTACTACGTATTACTACAGAACAACAAAGTACAAAAAAAATTCAAGAATGTCCACAATTTCTAAATTTAAAAAAGGATCAGAAAACACTAAGCAAAACCAGGCTGATGTAACGCTCCGTTTTGCTTTTGTGGGGATTCCCAATAAATAGTCACTATCAAAAAGCTAAATGAACATTGCTCATGAAGTGGCCCATTATCAAATCCTAGATACTTAAAGAATAGAAATGAGACTAGACAATTACTCTGCTCAAAAGATGTTAACAAAAAGAAATCATAAAATTTCGTTCATCCGATCAACCAAATAGGTGGCTATCAGCTATCAACAATAAACCTTCAATGTTTATTTCTGCTGCTTATTCATTGTGCAACAGGGATGAAAAGACAGGTAACAGGGACAGAACCAAGTTATTATTCTTGGGCGGCCAAGACCTTATGTACAAAGCCTTACACCAACCATGTAGACTATATTTATATTTTCAAAACACAAATTTTCAATGCATAAAAATTAATCAGACAACAATACATACTCAACATATTGTAGCGCTCATCAACATGATACTCTTGTATTTGCGGACACAATTCTGAGCACGCTCTTCAAAACTAACATCGGTATGTTGAGTTTCAACTCACGAAGTTTTTTTACATTGATTTTCGGCTGTCGAAATTGTAACATTAGCAGAAGGCAATGGTTCATCAAATTTTGAGTCTATAAGATTTTTTTTTGCTTGAAGAATGTATCAGTTGTAAATAACTTTCCCATCTAGACTTAGAAATTAGTAAAACTGTATGACGTCACTTGAATATTTTAGTGAAATTCCACAACCCAAATGAAAACAATAGCACATGATTAATGAAAATATTATTTGGGTTGACTAATTGCTATCTGATTGATACAAGACAAAAATATTAAAAGAAAAGACACCTAAAAATTAAGGGGGCTCTTCTATTCTGTTTAATAGTGAGGGCTTTCCTAAAAGGAGGACAATTAGTTTATTGGTGAAAGAATAATGGGAATTGGGAAAAAATTGGAATGATATTATTACTTTGTTAATCTTCTATTCACCAAGAAACAAGTTTAAGGTAAGAAAGTGAAGTGGATGATAATGGTATATTATTATTGATCGATGATATCACGTGTCACTAATGACGTTAAATTTGAATATTTACTCGTAGTATTACCCTTGACAACACAAACTTGTTGCTCAAAATTGAAATTCAATAAAACTAGTTACAACTAAAAAATTGGATACAAACCCATTTAAATTTGAACGGATTCTTACATAATTTTAATTCCAGAGACCCCATTCTATATTCTGTGTAAGGGGTAGAAATCGCTACGGGATTTCAGCTCTCCACTCGAAGGATTTCGGCAGACTTGGCGGCACCGAGCCCCAGTAGCCTTTACCTCTCTTCGCCAATAGGACCCTTTCCTAAGGCAATCCCACATCGGAAGAGAGTCGTCTCCCCCTTGCATATATCAAGTGACTAGTGAGTACCCCTCCATAGGAAGTGTTCACTTATATGGCAGGGGGAGACGACTCTTTTCCGATGTGGAATTGTCATACGAAAGGATCCTATTGGGACTCGGTGCCGCTAGGTCAGCCAGAATCCTTCGAATGGAGGACTAAAATCCCGTAACGATTTTTACCCCTTCCATTCCGAACACGACATAGCAATTGATAATCTTTAGTTTTTTGTTTTTTTTTTTTGTTAAACAAGATCAATGAATTCCGATCTCTACACGTCACAAATCCCATCAACAATTATACAAAGCCTATGCTGAATAACTCATAAAAAAGCGTACATGAACAAAAGAGTAAATAAAAAAAAATGTCATAATCAGAAATTATGCAATTACTTACCTCGTTTAACTTGTCTATCGTTGTTATGGCATTTGTTTCTTGCTTAGCTTTGCCGAAGATTCGCGTAAACATGATTGATTGAAACTGAATGTCAAGGGTTGATCAGAGAGAGCCAGGCGGACAGAAGTTGCTCGATTTAATCTGCGGAGAGAGACTTGAATTTATTTAAAGTGGAAATGTCCTGTTTGGAGGATATTGAGTCCTATTAGGGGACAAACAATATTTTTTAGTATGATGCCTCCACCTTTTGTAATAGGGCTTCGGCCCTAGTGTAGCGTTTCTGTATGAAATCCAGTTTCGCTAATGCGCCGTCAAGTCTCGAACCTTCGCGTTGATACGAAATTTTAGGTACTAGAGGGTGGATTTTATATAGTTAAAAATAGTCAAAAACAGAAGGGACATGCTATATTCGAATGACTTGTATGTTTGTTGTATTAAAAATACATGGATTAGATAAAATAATATAATATAGATATATTAAAAATAAGATTAATGTTAAATTAACAAAAATACCCTTAATCAATGTTTGTTACATTGATAACAACTTGATTTTATTACTTGAGGGATTATTTATTACATTATATTATAAATTTATTACATTCTTTTGCATAAAAAAATGATTAAAGTATGATATTATTGTTTGTATTGTAAATATATGATATTGTTATATACCAAAAAATCAACTATAGCATATATTTGACTATAGAATAATATAATATAGATTACACTTTATTTCTTCATATAAATATAGACATAGATATAAAACTGTATGTAAGTAAACTACTAATAAATGAGTTCAAAAAAATTTAAAAAATAGAGATGATTAATAAAAAAATTTTAAAAAAACTTAGAAGTTAAATAGACACAGGAAACAAAAATTGAATGAAATTAGAATTTAGAAGTCAAATAATATTAATTAAAAGAGTTTAAAAGAACTTAAAAGTCAAATAAGTATAAAAAATAAAAATTAGAGGAAAGTAATATACATATATTATTGACTTTATAATAAAAAATAGGGCTAAAATAAGAAATCAAAAGTTTTTTATAGATGCTAACATTTATAAATAGTATTAAATATTAAATAAAAACGAATCACGTATAATTTTATTATTTTTTGTTTTTTCCAATAATTTTCATTATTTTTTGTTACTTCAATATTTTTTCAAGAGTAATGTTATTCGGACCTAATTTACTATGATTTTTAAATTGACTGTAAACCCCATCAAACATTAAAACTTGATGGTAGTCTAATAATTTCACTAAAGCAACATTATTAGGTCAAATTTTTAAGTCTAAATAACATTATTCTTTTTTCAATCAACAGTTGTAAATTATTCAAATTCAAATTAAAAATTCAGATTTATTTTCATCGCGGTACTTCTACGATACCATATTCTTCTCCAAATATGATACTTATTAATATATATTACTTAGTTATATTTAGGGTTTTTTGCACTTTGCATTCTGAAAGTTTTTCATTTTATATCTTTAAAGATAAAATTTTTTATATTACACCCTCAATGTATCTAAAGTGTTGAAATGTAGCCGTTCAGTAAGTTTTCGTTATTTTTTTCGTCAAAGACTAATTCATTGACACAACAGAAAACTAACGAAAAACTAATAGAAAGACCACGTTATAATATTTTTGGTACATTGAGAGTTGAATGTGATAAATTTAATATTTGAAGATATAAAATAAAAAACTTGAAATCTTTCAACATGCAAAGTGCAATTCGCCTTTATTTTTATAATCAAATTAGATAGAAAAAAAATAAGATTTATAAGAGCATTTTCAACCATGACTCAAATTTAGATTCAAATTTGAGTAAAAGATTGATTTGGTACAGAGAACTCCAATATCTATTCAAACCTTTTAAAAAAATTTCTTATTGTCCTAAAACTCATTTTTTTTTGTATCATTTAAATCATGATATTTGATAAAATAAATAAAACTTTCATATCTATCCACAAATGGGTAATTAAAAAAAATATGTATACTACACTATTTGAGAATAAAGAAACCACCCTAGAATTTTAAAGGGATATTTGTGGCCCGGTACACTTTTAATAACTTATTTGTCAAAAAGTCCAATCATCAATTTTTTTTGTTAAAAAGTACATTTCGGATTAAAAGGACTCTAATGCCTTTAATTATCTATTTACTGAATTAGCTAAATCGAATTAAAAAAAAAATCAATTCATTAACTGGATTACTATTTCAATGGAGTTTCATTCAAACTCCTTCAATTACGGAATGTTCATGCAAGTGTCAAGGGAAAAAAATTTAAATTAATTCAATCCTTTCATAAAAATGTATAATCAAAATTCTTTCCATTAAAAAAGGCAACTAATTAGATTTAAAAGCAACTATTTTCTTATAT